CGAACGGCAACCGGGCTCGGTGCAGCACACAAAGAGAAAGGGTTCCCCCTTCATCCGCCAAACGAGAAAAAAGACTGGTGTGTGTGTGTGTGTAGCAACCCAGTATCAGTTCTGAAGTTGTCTCTGGTGGAGCAGGCGCTTCTATATTTCCTCCTTAATATACATCATGTATCAAGAGGAAACCCGAAACAGGGAATATGGGTTCCCCAGACTCAGACTGGAGGGAAACATGGGACTCGGATAGGTACGCCATGGATTCTATCAGGAACACCATCCAGCATGGGCGTAGACAAATCCTGTGAAACATGCCCACCGGCTCCAAGAGAAACTTAGACCCATAAGCACGCAGCCAACAGATGAAGCCATAGATGCCCCGAAGAGATACAGCAGATGCCAACTAGATGTCTGAAAAGACCCCAACCTGTGCCAACCAACAAAAAAACCGACAGATCCCCAAAAAGGCCCACAGCTCCTGGAACAAGCCACCGCTGCTACCAGGGGCCCGGCTCGTATCCATTGCACCAAAGAGGTGGAGCGCCTCCTCTGCAGGGGTCGTGGGACTCGCAGAACCCCGGGCCGTGCGCCGAAAATCCGCGGCGGCCACGGGCATTCCGCGGCGATTCCAGAGATTCCGGAGGGGAAGGCGCGCGAAAATCCATGTATCCCCTTCAGGTCTTGGAGACTGAACTTTTCTTGCGGCAGCCAGTTGGTTCCGACCACCAAAGCGGAACTCGACCCGCTTTGGAGGTCTCTGAGTTGGAGACATGCAGGATGTTGGCCCCTATCAAATATCAAACCTCACCCCTCAAGTTGGCGAGTGGCTGTGGGACAAAAATAGGTTCCCAAAATGGAGCCCTGGTAAATGGAAACATGGACCAACTGGTGGTTTAATTTGAAAACATACCCAAATAGCGCTAAAAGTCTGCGTAGAAGCCCGAACAACCTTCTTTGTCCCCCGGCCCTGGGCTTCACTGGTCGGTTCTCTCCCCTCTTGCTCCTGCCACCGACCAGCGTGCTCCAGGCCGATGATTGCGGCCTACAGGCAAGGCTATTCAGTACCCAGCAAACATTCTCCTGCTTGAACCTGGGCTGTCCTCTTTAAGTTTCCGTGGATTAGATGGACACCCCCACCTTTCACCCCAAAAAAACCTCTAAAAACCCAAGGAACCGGATGGCTGGAAACCACCAAGAAACTGTTCAAAAAGGGGGGCGGGGATAAGGACTCAGGACTGAGCCATCCCGTCCAGCACCGTGAAGAAAAGGTGCTTCCCGTCGCATTCGAGGAGGAATGTGTGGAACATAGGTGTCCTTTTGGGGCAAATAGATGGGTTTCCCTGGTAGATGATGAGAAACCACCAGGTAAACCAGGAATTGCCATCTATTTTCGACCAAAACAACCAAAAAGGAGACCCATGGTGTGGAACCCTTGGTGCCATCCCCGATTTTCTGGGGCCCCCCCTTGTTTGTCTCACTTGGATGTTGCGAAACTGGTGGGTGGAATAGGTGTTCTGCCGACTTCGTTGCCGCCTTCATTCACAAACCGGTTGGCTGACACGCCGACAGCTCCCTTGAAAGGATGACACCCTGCAGATTCCTTCTAGTTGGTGGGTGGGGTTGGTTTGGAGTGGGGTTTCCCATTTACCCACAAGCATCAGGGCTTCAAACCCCCAAACCCTCAATCAATCTCAATCCAAACCACCAACTAAGGGTTGGGCGTCAAAACGGACCGCATTTGGTTCCCACACTGAAAGACCTCCATCTGTCCCAAGATCTATGCTGCTTGAGTCCCATATGGGTGTGCCTTTGTAGGGTACCCCCTTTCCCTGGTCTGACGGAAAGCCCAAAGAGGAAAAACCTTTTGGAGGTCAAAACCTCCAAATTTGACACATACACATATCTCAGAAAAGGCAGGAAACAAGTCGAAACCCTGTACTTGTTGGTGGCTACTTGCAGCGAATAATCAAGCGTATCGATGCAGCGTCAGCTGTCAGTGTCAAAATAGGGGACCTCCACAATGTGTGTTCCCTGTTTGGGTGTTTCTTCAAACCAGGGACAAGGGATCCAAAAAGCACACCCTGTGGGAACTTGAGTGTCAAGAGCGAGGCCCTGTCTTTGACCTGGGTTCACGAAAAGGGCCCCTGAAAGTCAGCCAGCGTCGCGAGCGGACAGAATCAGACATGGGAAAATGGGCTGGGTCCCCCAGTATCCTCCAAGCGAACAATCGGCCAGTAAACTGATAGGTGCAAGTGCCAACCTGACACGGGTTGGCCATGGGTCAAAATCCAAATCGTACCCCCAGTGAACATCCCAACCCTCACTAAAATAGGTTCTAAAATGGGTGGTGCACCTACCCCAACATGGTACCATTGGTTTGGACCCACGGCCGGTTCAGGCACTGGTGCACTGCCAGTTTTCACAGCCCTCACCCCGACCCCTCTCCTCCCGGCCCAAGGGCGTCCTACATCTCCTCTTAAACATTCCCCCACCAAAATAAAATCAGGCATTGGACCAAAAAGCCTTTAAAGCGGCTTCATAGGGAAGTAGTCTTAGAGACCCTTGTTTTGGTGGTCTAAAAGGGAAAACACAAGGAAAACCACCATTTTTGGTGGGGTGAGGGTTCCCTAAAAAGATTCATACCCATATAGGACCCCTGTCCAAGGTCGGCACATTGCAGACTGCCGCATTGGGCGCGACCCGGTATGACGGCATGGCCTGCAGCGGATTCCGAGTGGCAATGGCTACATAGTGGTCAAAATTGCTGTGGGCTCCCATAGGACATGGGAAAACTAGGTTTTTGTCCGTTGGTTTTTGCGAGAAGGTTGGCGAGTCTCCCCTGCCCCTCAATGGGCCATAGACAACTGAGGATACTTTGATGGGATGTAGGTGAAAATTGAAAAGTAGTCAACCCAACAGAGCCCCCTGGCGCTTTCACCCAGCCCTTTTTGGCAACTCTAGTTGGACCCCGTCTAGCTGACGAGCTTCGAAAGGGCGCCATAAGTTGCAGTCGTTGGGAAAACGATGCAAATTGATGTTTGAAAAAGTGATCCTCTTTGGTGGGTTAAAAAAACGCGGGCCGTACGGCGACTCATTCTGTTTGAAAAGGGTCCATGGTTGATAGATATTCCCGGAGATGAGCGCTGTTTGGAATCCATTCTTGTGGGGGCGTGCCACCTGCCCGCACCCCCAGGTCAAACAACAAAGGAGTTGTCAGAATCATTTTGCGACGGGGGGTTGACTCCATTCTAAGCTCACTGCCCGAAAGAGGGCCCGACTCATGTTGCAAATTCCCCATGACACGAGTAGCCAGGCTTTTCCGGCGCACAACTAAGTGAAAGGGACAGCTTCCGCGGGCACAAACAAGTGGGGAGGGCAAAGTTTCTGGCATACACTTTTAGATCGGGCAGCTTGAAGTGTGAGATTTAAGAAACGAATGGGTTGCAACTCCTTTCTGTTTCGGCAAATATGCAGGCAAGCCCCAAGCAAGAAGCTTGCACTTGGATTACTGATGGGCTCGCCTCCATCATCGCAAGCGCCAGCTGCCAGCGGCTGCTCTCTTTGGCACAGGCGGCCTGAGCCAAGAGCGGCACAAAAGAAACACACAAGTTCAGGAAAGAAAGCCAAAGAGGAAAGAAAAAAACGCCCCCTTTGACTCCAAGCCACCCAACTCCCACCCCTCCATTCCAAAGCCGCGGCCCCAAACCTGAGTCCTCGGCCAGGATGGCAGAGGAGAAGGTGAACTGGTCGGGCGCCGGTCCTACCGGAAGCAGAGATGCATTTCACCGCTACCTTCCAGCCATGGGTGTGGGATCCCCTTGGCACGCCTTTGGATGGGTTTTGAAGGCAAACTAGTAGGAACCAATAGGAAACCAATGTGACAAACCCGCACAGTACACAACAACCAAAGAATTGGCAGGTCTTTCCCACTGGGGAGAACCAGTGTCAAAGGCTTTCAAGGGGCGTCAAAAGCTTGCGTCCAAACGAGGCTCTCGCCTGAGGTGCAACCCCTTGAAACCCTACTTTCGCAATGACTTCAGGACTTCCACAGAAAGCAGAAAGGCATTGACTGAGGTTCTTATTATCAACCTGAGCATTGAATCCCCACCAGCACACAACCATGCAACTGAAGCGGCTTGAGCAAAGCTGTTCTTTGATTCTAGGTTTGAGGCAACGGGCCCGAAATGCCAAAGAAACATCACCCTCCCGAGAAAACTGGGCGTGCCTCCAGGACGTTTGCGCATGCAATTTGTGCTCAACATGAGACTCAGGGCACCCATCCATGACGCCTTTGTTTATTTGTTTTGTCATGGAACTTGTTTCTTTTGTCTTGGAAGTTTATGTTTATTTCATTATGTTTGGGGTTCCATCTTTGGGTGTTTCTCTGCGACATATGAGTCTTTGGGACTGGCGGTGGGCATCATTCAGCTCTCAGGTCTGCCTCGCTCTCCGGTGCCCAAGCCCTTCCTTCATGCAGGAGGTGCCGAAATAAAGCCAAGGCGGCCTGGCCGCGGGCCTCCGGAACCATCACTAGGTCCTCCAGTACAGAGCTTAGAAGTTTTCTGGGGTTGAGAGTGAATGGTTTGGATTAACCCTTTCGGGGTTAGAAGTTTGATTTTCGGGGTTAGAAGTTCCTGCTTTTCGGGGTTAGGAGTTTGTGTGGAATAAGGGTACCAACTTTTTTCTGTAGTCTATTTTAGTAGGGAAACCCTCCCCAACAAAAGGAGTGAGAAAGGGCACCTAGCTGGGACCTAGATCACAAAAACTTGGCGGCCGTGGGCCGGTCCCTTCCTCGTTTCTTGCAGAAGGAGACATGGTGCCGACCGTCAAAGACATTTCAACTAGCACTGCCCTCCCCCCTCGCCGCGGCCTGAGTCCAGGCTTCGCACAAACGCCTTCCTTCATCTTGCCCGGCTTGGAGCCCGGTTGAGCGTCCAAATGGGAAGCCAGTGTAACCTTGCCCCCAATTGGTTGTTCGGGGGCAGGGCACCCTTTTCTCGTAGTTGCTTCTTTTTACCAAGCCCCCTTCCGAAAGAAGCAAGGGGTCTCACCACTGGATTTCTAGGTTCCCTCGCAACATTGAGGTAAAAAAGAAAACGCTGAAGGATCGCAGCTCGACTCTGGAAGCCCCAAAAATAGATCGCTCGCAGCGCGCCCAAAAAAAAACAACAACAGCAACTCCCCAAGGCTTTTGGGCACCGACCGCCGCCCCCAGGCGCTCGCCGCTCGCCGCCGGCGCTCGGCGCTGGGCGCCTGCCACGCCGCCCCCAGGCGGCAGGCGCTGATGCCGGCGTTGAGGCGCTGCAGCGCCTCTGGGCCCAGGTCCTCACGCGTTTGGCTCCCCCGAGGCGATTTTGTTTTTTTTTCCGGCGGTGCAAAAAGGGAACCCGAAAGCAGAAAAAGAATGGATATGTTTTGGCTCCTTTTTTGGGGGGGGACCCGCCAACAAGCAAAAACAAAGCAATATGCGACTGTCCTTTTTGTGTTCCTTTTCAACACCAAGAATGCCAAAAATGGGGTACCCAGAAAAGACACACCCAGGTGTCTAAGCATGATTGAACGAGGGAAAGGCCCAACCCTGCTTGCAAGGGCACGTCATTGATGATTGTCCCTTGACACGGGTGCGGACATCCGGTTGCGGATGTGGTGCTCCCCGAAAGTTCCCTTTGAAATGCTACCTGATAGGCCGGGTGTGGCTCAAGTTGCGTTTCAACAGCGCCCTGGCAGCGTTGATGGGGAACCAAAAAAGGAGGTTGTTCAATCAATCGGGTGTGCCTTTTCTTGAGGGTGGCTTGGGGCTCCGGTTCCTAGAACATGACATGTGTAACATAAGGTTGGCCCAAGGCACTTCCTGCTCCAAAGACGTGACAAATGACGACCAGCTGCTTACCCTGAACGACATTGTGTTAACCTCATGTTCTTGCTGTAACTTGGAGAGTATTCCCAAGGCGAATTTCGACAGTAGCAAGTTGACGGCTTTGGGTTGGTGTCCGCGAGCCACAAACTGGTTTGCAAAAAAAAAATGCTGCAAAGGTACAACGTTTAAATCTGTCATGGCACTCTCCGCAAAGAGTGCCCCAAAAAGAAGATGCCTTCATGCCATTGTTCGGATTCAACATGTCATGCGGATCTAAACCAACCATAAGTTTGCCAAGAAGAACAAAAAAGAACGAATACACATCGAACATGGACAACAGGATGACAAACAAAAAGAAGCCGCCAGCCGCCGTAGCCAGTTTTACAGCCCCAAAGATCCGCCAAAGACGCCTCACACTCCGTCCTTGGCGGGTCCAAGCCGCCGTAGCGCTTCCGCCTGGGATGGTCAGGCAAGCATGAACTCCTTGCAGTCGGCTACAAACCATTTGGGTGTTAAGACCCATGCCTACGTCCTGGCTGAAACCAAATATACCTAAAGGCCTTCCCCTGCTTAACTCTTGGGTTGCCCAAAGTCAAGTGCGCAGAAGATCCTGCTTGGGCCATGGGGTTCAATATTTCGAGGAATCTTACACCTGGCTGGCCATTGTGGACCCCCGTTTGGTTGGCATCTAAAGGGAAACCAAAGGGAACCAACGACTTTAGGAGACCCCTATATTGATAAACATCCACACCCTCAGCGTTGGCCATTGACACTGATTGGTACGGCAACTACTGTGGATGGACAAATTCCACCAAACACACCTACCAACGGGTGTCGGATTAGAAATCAAGAAATTAGCCTCACAAAGGAGTCCGAAGTTCCTTGCAACCAAAGGACTAAAGGACTGATGTAGACAGAGGTACATCTACATTTATATGTGCATACATACACACCGCACGCGCTGTCCTCAGCTAGCAGGTTGAATTCCAAGCAGGCAAAGCTGGCAAAATGGATCCGCCCCGAATCTGGCAAGGGCTTCTCGTAGTGACAATCTAACACTCTAGTCCAATTTCCCGCCAAGCAGCCCATTGTCGCGAGCGGCCCAAAGACACCAAGATGCGCGGCCTTATGCAGTTGTTTGATTCTTTGGTGAGAAATTGAGTGAGCCCCGAATTCATGTCCCTCCCAAACTGGCTGTAGACTGCTTCTATTTTGATCAAACCTCGCATGCTGCGGCTTGAAGAAGCAAGTACCCAAACGAGAAACTGCAGTAGATCAAGTGCGCTTCCCAAAACGTTCCTTGCAATAAGTTTGGGGCTTAGCCAGCGTCGCGAAGGCCGGGAGGTGCGCAAAAGCTATGAATCAAAACTCCGCCCGACATATTGAGCACATGCTGGCTCCCGTTTCAAACCATAGCGAAAGCCGGGAACAAAAACAACGCAGTCCGCACATCGAAACCGACAGCTCTCCACAGCCAGCAGTACATGGCCTGATAAATTTGTGGCCTTGGCCTGCGTCAGCCTTTCGGAGCCTCCAAAGTGGCCATGTTTGGTTGTGGAAACAAGAAATCATGGACTCTCCCCTGAAACGGCCAATCCACGCCTTTGGGACCTTCCGCTTTTAAGGGTCAGCCAGCCTTTTGCCGGCCGAGCCGCAACGCGGCCGCCTGCCGCGCCATGCCATCTCCGCCATGCTCGCGGACCGGCGCTTCCGGCGAGATCCGCGGGCGGCAGAAGGAAAACGGTTTAAACCAATGGCGGTGGTGTGCCAAACAACAGAGACATGGCCATGGGTCAGAAGACAAATCGTACCCCCAGTGAACATCCCAATCCAACTACTAAAATAGGTTCTAAAATGGGTGGTGCACCTACCCCAAAATGGTACCATTGGTGCTGACCCACAGCCACATAGCTCTTCAGCCTTTTCCCCTTGTCATTGCAAAGTGTGGGCTTGTGATCTTTAGCTCTCGACGGTGTCGAGTAATCTGTGGTTGCCATCGAGCGGCAGAATTTCTCCTGCCAATGTGGCCAGACCACGAGAACCGTTTGCAAGGGCCTAGGTATCCAACTTCGCTGCGCTTTGATCTGAGCGCAATCCCTCTGGCTTTAAGACCTCGAAGAACCATCAAATCTGGGAGGTCGATCTCTGCTTCTTTTCCTTCAGGCATCTTATGGCTTGTCGCGCATGTCGAGTCGCTGCTCCCTTGGACCGATCCAAGCTGCAAGGGCGAAGGACACCAGCGCGAGCCTTTGTTCACTTGGGAAGACTTGTGAGAAGATGTGGAGTCTCCATCTCTTCGAAGCAACTTATCACCAGAGTTTGTATAGTATTTTTTGTAGAGGGGAGGTTCTCTCTCACAAAACCAGAAACATGCTGGTGCTCAGAAGGGAATGACCCAGGGTTTCGGGAATGAACCGGAAGGGGATTCCTGGAAGGAAAGCAAATCGGGGCTGGTTCTTCCTCAGGGTCATTCCACATCTCAATCTCTGCCTATCAAACCAGCAAGAAAACTGACCGGGGAAAAAAGCATGGCATCGCGCTCTCTTCCGAGGTGTTTACGGAAGCCAGGGGTTCAAATCCCCAAACCCCCGATCCCAGCCACCAACTCAGGGTTACCTGACTCCTTCCAGGCGAAACAAATACCGGAGAAACCTGGCATCACGCTACTCTGTTCAAGCTGCTCTGGGCACATTTTGCGCAAGCCGCGCTTCGAGCGAAGCCCCTGGCTTCGGCCGCGGCCAGGTTGCAAAGGGTTCCAAAGGTTCGGCTCGGCCCCCGAGTCGTGCACAGCGGGGGAGGGGGTTGGACAAGGCAAGATGGTGGTTGTCCCTTTGGTTTCCCTTGAAAACCAACAAACAAAGGGGGGACCCCAGAAACAGACGACTCTAGCTGCTATCCTGTAGACTAACAGGAGAGCAAAGGCCCAGACTGTTGAAAACTGGTCAAGCAGCGCTGGCGGATTTCATGCAACCCGCTGCAAGTCAAATCGCAAAGGGAAAAGCTACAGATAAGAATAATCCGAGTAAAAAACCACCAACACAAACAAAGAAACAAACAAATGGACAGACAGACAGACGGACGGACGGACGGACGGACAGACAGACAGCACAGGCAGGCAGGCAGACAAGCAGGCAGGCAGACAGACAAACAGACACACAACCAACAAACAAACAAACAAACAAACAAACAAACAAACAAACAAACAAGCAAGCAAGCAAGAAGCAGAGAAACAAACAAACAAGCAAGCAAGCAAGCAAACAAACAAACCAAACCAAACCAAAGCACAAAGCCCACCCAACCCAACCCAACCAACCGGCCTGCTGCGCGTTTGTTCGCACCATTTTCAGAAGATATCTTCCTTGCGGTACTTCGTGAACGCGGCCGGTAGCCGAAAGGTGCGCCTCGGCGCGCTTTGACGGGTGGGCGGGGGGGGGGGGGGGGTCGGGGTCTGCCACAGTGGGCGACCTTTGCTTGTTGCTAGGGGCTAGGGGGAGCAAAAGAGAGCTGGCCTATTCCTATCTTAGACATGTCTTTTGCAGGTATATACTCAAATGGAACCCAGGGTGTCAAATGGCCCATGATAAGGAAGCCTGCGTGGGTTTTGAGCCAGCCTATGTCGGGCTCACAGTAGAGAGTACAGTGGGGCCCGCCGTCTATGGGGATGTTCAATCAACTAGGTTGCCTAAAGGCCAAATCAGCTAGCTTCAACGCGAACAAAAATGCAAGGTGGAACAGAGGTGGAGTCGACCAAATTGGCCAACCGCAGCATACAGCCCATCCTGAATCACAGATTCAGACACGTACTGCTTCCAACAAGCACCCCAAGTTCGAAAAAAAATAGAACTGGGCAGCAACGGGCCACCAGAAGCAACCCAACCATGCGCAACACAACGCATGCGGTGTTCTCCACATCTGCGGTGCCGCGCGAACGAGTGAGAGCGGCTAGGTCTTGCCACCCCAAAAGTGATTTTCGGATCCCTGGGCTCCAGACTGAGACGCATCAACCAAACATCGACTGACCCACTGGGGTGCTGCATGGGCGTTGCCTTCACCCCGAATCGGTCTTTCGATCGTCCAAGAAGCTGGGCCAATGGGAAGTTCTCCTGGCTCGCTGAAGCGAAGGACTGAGCAAGTCTGGGCGCACATCCAGGCGCATGTCCCGGCCATGCTAACGCCCAAGTGTGTTTGAAACAAATGAACAATCAAACGAACCAAACCAACCAACAAACAAAAGTTTCAAACAAGCAAGCAAACAATGAGCCAAACAAAGAACCAAAGAACCAAACCAATTAGCAAGCAAGCAAGAGGACAGGCCTGGTTTTGCATTGGATACCATGGTGGAAACCGCAAGGGCAAGGCCCTGCGGGTCACTAAGCTCTTGTCACGGTCCTCGGAGGGGACGATGTAGAGGTCTGCCGGGATCATCCGGAACCTGAAAAAGAGAGGGTCAATAAGGGTGGGGCTGGGGTGGGGTTGGGGCTCCTGGTTTTGCAGTGGCTGGTAATCAGGCACCTGAAGCACAGACCTCTCAAAACTGTGTTTGAATCACAGGTTTGAGGCCACTTATAAAACAGTGCTTGATTAACCCTGTCAAAACCTACTCTGGTCACTGAAATTTGCAGTGATATCAGGCGGCTTCTCTCTGATCCGGAGTGGCCGCCAATTTCCTTTAGGCCTCTGTCCTTAGTTGAAAACCTGTTAAGCCCACCCTCGACCCATTTTTCGCCACGACGCACAGACGCACGTCGGCCCCAGCCTCCTGCTCATGTTCAACGGTCTGGCTGCCTGGCACGCGGCAAGCTGGCCCGAAAGCCCCAGATTCAAAGCCGAAGCACAGGGGGAGCCATTCCAGCCTCTTGAGCGACGGCTCAATAGTGACCGGGAATGCTGAATAGTGTCCAGAGTAACCAAGGGTGACCAATAGTCAATAGTGACTGTTTGTAACTATAAGAGTGACTATCTGTGCTGTATAGTGCCTAATAGTGGCTAACAGTGACTGATAGTATCTGATAATGCCTAGTGAATAACAATTGCTAGTGCCCAAGAGTGCCTCGCCTGTGACTCCCCCGTCGCCCGGGTCGCCCGGGTCGCCCGGGTCGCCCGGGTCGCCCGGGTCGCGCGGCGCCTTGGTGATGGCGAACTCGTGGCGCGTGGCTCGCTCCCGCGGCTTCACGGCCAGCTCCACGTACCGCTGCCGCACATCCTCCTGTGGCCCCGCCCCCGACGTGCAAAAACCGGCCGAGGGCCGAGGGCCGAGGGCGGCGGCGACGTTTGTTTTTTTGGAGTAAAGATTCGAGAACTTCGAAAAGGGTTCGGGAAGTCCGAGCAAGGGCCCTTTTTTTCCGGCGCGTGTCCCTGCGGCAAAGAACCGTACCAAGTGGAGGGGATCAGGTTACTTTTGGTTGGTGGGTTGGATGGGTGGTTTGGATTTGGATTTGAACCCCTGGGTCTTGTAGAGGGTAGATGGGAAACAACCCCTTAACCACCAAATCCAATCCAAACCACCAGTTAGTGGGAAGCTGAGACATGGTGGTGAAAATAGTGCTTTTGTAAATAAAATAAACGAAAAAACAAGCAACCTAGCCAGCTTCCCTTGAGTTGGTAGCTTGGGTTGGTGACTTCCGAGGCGTTCCAAAGGGGTGCTCTGGTGAATCTTGCTGATTCTGTCGCTGCATCTTGATTCCAGTTGTGAATGCTCCTCGTTCTGAACTTGCACGTGTCTCTTTTTTCCCATGGCGAACGAAGCCCGTGAATCTGAAAGGTTCTGGATTTTCATCGTTCTGAACCTGCATGCGTCATCTTTTAATGGTGCTGGATTCGAAGAGCGAACACTCATGGCCGGAGATGTGAGAACCCATCGACCCATCGACTCGACTCGGGGACGCCTCGCGGCGCTGCAGCTCCCAGGACAAGTAGATCCAGGGGTCCCCGAAGTTCACGTCGTAGCCCCCCTCCTCCCCGGGCCTGCGACAAGCCAAAAAAAACACGGCGCTGAGAACCCGAAGAAGAAAAAAAAGGCGCGGAGTCGACAGGGTAGGGAATCCACTTCCCTTTTTTTCCCGGGGTTTTAGGGAATGAAGCGTTTGGGCCGCGCAAAGGACACCAGGACGACCCAAACGGCTTTGACAACTCCTCCGTGGCTGAAGGAAACTCTTTGGGGATGCGAGAAAGTTCAGGGCGATTCCAACGAAAACTCTCTGCCTATCGAAGCTAAATTGGTTGGGCCTTGTGGACCCTTTGGCAAGGGTGTTCTACCCCTGTTTGGTTGGAAATCCTGCCCTAGTTTAGACCCCTTGGCTTCCCACCAAGACCCAGAAAACAAAACACGCCTCCGGTCCGGAAACCCCTCCTTTCCAGTGCACTTGCGGCTAAAATCGTGGGAAAAGCTCAAGGGATCCCCCACCCCTAAAACTCCACGATTTGCGTCGCGGCCCTCAAACGCCCCACGGCCCCTCGGCCCGTCGACTGAAAGGCCTGGCCAGCTGCAACAGCCGCTCATCCTCCTCAGGCGTCCAGGGCTTGCCCTCGTTCTCCTCGGGATCGGAACGGAACATCCGATTTGAAGGTACCCGTTGTTGGTGGCTTTTAAAGGGAAACCAAAAGAAAAACCAATATGGGTCTGATTCTTTTTTGAAGGTACCCGTTTTGGGCGGCTTTTAAAAGGGAAACCCAAAGGGAAACCACCATCTGGGGTCCCCTAAAAACCGACACCCACATGTGGCTTTGTCTCCAAATTGGGATTGGACCCCTAAAAGGGAGACCGTGGCCCTTTTTGGCTTTGAGCCTTGACCCCAAAAAGGGCATCCCCCCCAAAAAAGCGGCGGTTAGGAAGCCCGAGGAAACCACAGGCAAACCAGGTGAACCACCCTGAGCTTCCCACTCACCCCGATGGAAGCTAACCACTTCTCTGGGCTTTGGGTTGGGGTCAAAACGTAGCCAAGTGTTGGTGTCAATTGTTCACTGGACTCCTTGGGGGAGAAACCTTAAATGCATTGCTTGTGATCTCAAAGGGACCCTTCCGAAGCTCCAAGTTGGCCTTGAAAGCTCACCTTTCCGGGTTTGGTTCAGCCGGGCACCAACCGAACTGCGCGGACTGTGGCACGGACTTCAGTCCACCATACACACCCCGGGAGTGCGCATGATTTTCCCACAGCCCAGGGCGCAGGCATCCCCGGAGTTCGCCAACTCACCGGGAAGTGTGGACCCCCGTCAGAGAGGACCAGCCCCACTTACAGGGCTCGGTACAAACCCTTTTGCTTTCTCATGGTGAAACTTGCCGGCAACAAACCCAGTCTTTGCGCGGGGACCCTTTGGTGGACATTCAAATGGCGAGTTCCGTCCACCAACCATGGGAGGGAGTTCAGCCGATCAAAGTCATCGCCATATCAAAAAAAATGAGAAAAAAAACAACGGGGAAGTTGAGGTTGTTCAGCAGCAACAGGCCGATATCACGGATGAGCCAAAGGATTTTTTAGGCCCTTTGGTTGCTCTCCTGGTGGCTCCAGGCAAAAGGACATCTAGGTCCTCTAGTCGAGAGCTTAGAATAAGTTGGTACCCGATGTTTTTGGTTTTGTCTATTTTAGGGGAACCCTCCCCAAAAAAAGGGTAAAAGGGAACTACTGGGGGACCTAGAGGGAAATCCGGTGAGTCCCCTTGTGAGAATTCCAAAGAGTCCCCTCAGTGCCCGGCTAAACGGGCACCGCCGAAGCGCTCTTGGAACTCGTCTTCGGAGACGCGAGGCCACAGGCCTTGCGAGGAAGGTGAGAACTGAAAGGGAAACCCACTCCGACACATTTCTGGCGAGAAAAACCAATAACCAACTCAAGGGCTTCCTGTATGTTAAAACTGGAAGCAGCTGTTCAAGGAACTAGGACGTGATCAAGAGGTCGGCAATCGGCCTCTTTTTGAGCCCGACCAATGTCTCCAAGACCAAGTCGAACTGTTGGGTTTGTCTCAATGGGCACCCCCCAGCAGGAAACTGGCTTGAAATGCGGACTTCCTCCCAGCTTTGCGAAAAGTTCGACTTCGCCCACGAAAACTCGCGGAACTCGCCGATTAGCTCTTGGGGCCGCTGCCATGATTGAAGAGGGTGATATATCGGTCCAGCTTCCTTCTTTGGTCCGCTGCGATGTCCTCTCGGCTCGCAAATCGCCAAAGCCGCAAAATTCGGCTCCGAAGCGTTGGGCCCCAGAAGCGTAGAGAACCCCAAAAGCGGAGAAATCTCCGGGGCCCGCGCTGCTTGGGTTCCCTAAAAACTTCCCGAGGTCTTCTGCATCCAATCCGCACACCCGCACTCGCACTTCGATGCTGAGGTGCAGGCCGGAATTCGCATGATATCCTTCGGAGACATGGAGATGAAATCCTTCCAGTTCCTCAAAGTCGAGACAAGCATGACATGTCCCAGCACATCCAGCCATGATCTTTGCCTTTGGGTTTCCGTGGTGTTCCCTGGTTAACTACTATAGTGCCTGGATGCACTGGACTCAAGTGTGGCATCGGCAGGATGTGCCACTTCTCGCGCGGCCGCTGGTTCGAATGTGCAAGAACCGGCCACAAACGAGAACTGACCGGCGTAGCCCAAAGAATTCGCCGAACCCGTGACTCCAGAAACTAGATCTGTAACCAGCGACCCTTTGTCACGGGAAGCGATCGAGCTCCACGCAAGTTCAGCAGGACTTCTTGTCTGAAGCAATCGAAGCTCGTTCCCCGAAATCCGAAGCTCAGAAGGCTTTCCATCTTCGAAAAACTTCTGCCAGGTCCAAGGTGACATCAAAATGACCCCCCCCCCCCACTCAGGCCCATCACTAAAAAAATATGGAGCTGATCTTCAAGCCTCAGAAAAATCAACCTACAACCAACCCCCCAAGGACCCCACTTGCCCATCCCCATGGCCCAAAGGGGCCCTTGCAAGGCTCCCGGGCTCGAAGAGGTTGGCCACGTCCTCCGCGCCATCCCCGAACTTCATACGCTCCAGGAAGCTCAGCACCGTCCAGCCTGAAGGAAAACTCCGCCGAGCAACCCGGAAACGCGGCGCTCGCCGTGCAGAAATGGTGACCTTTTGGGGGCAAATCGATGAAAATCTCTGGTAGATCGAAAACCACCAGGTAAACCGGGAATCACCATCTGCTTTTCGACCAAACAAACAACCAAAAAGGACACCTATGGCCGTGCTTTTTGTTTCTTGGAGAAAAAGCCGGGGGCTGTAAGAAGAAGCGGATGAAGTAGGGTGTCTGGGTCTGGCCATCTCCTCTTGGCTTCCTTTTTTGGGCATATCAAACATGATTGGCTATTGCAAAACCGCGCTTGGAGATGAGTTGGTGCGCTTCTTGTGGAATTTAAAGACCTGTGCCCCCTTTGATCCCCATGTTCAATCAAAACCTCAATGAGCCGGGCTCGACATTCAGGCTGACATCCTCTTCGGGGCGCGAGGCGATGTTGCCAAGCGAAGCCACTTGCTCTGCGTCGGACCACTGGAACCAATATCGAATCTCACTGATGGCATTACCTTGGCAACCTTGGAAGTAGATCGCGGGGGCAATCCCAAAGTGACCCACCAAAAAGGGGTGTCATTTTGGGACAAGGGATGGTTTTGAGAAATGTTTGTAACCAAACTGAAACCAGCGGAACCCATCAAGTTTCAAGCCCCCCAAAAAGACAAGATCCTTCCCAACTGGCCCAGTCGCCTTCGGTTGCTCAAAAATTGAGAATCATTGGCGGGAAAGGGGTCCCCGATTTTCCCAGTCCGTAACCGCTACTACCTAGCTATCTAACATCGGGATTCAGCATCGATTTTAGCAAAAAGAATCGCCCCAAGGGCGGTCCCGCCTTGCGGCGGCGGAAGCGCGTACTCCCGGCGGACCTGTCTGAGCCCTTGCGCCCTTGCAAAACAGACGGGGTGCTCCCTGTTTTGCCAGAAAAAAAAGTAAAACACAGTGTTATGTGGCATTTTTCATGTTAAACTCACATCCCCACCACACGCGGTAGCAGCTTCGTGTGACCCACGGACAATGTTCAGCTTCAAGACGTGGGAAATTCGGGCGCGGTCCGCCTGGATTCTGTGGAACACGTTGCGTCGTCCCCCCATGTTCCCAAACAACATTAGACTACAAATAATGCAGTAAATGGACAACATCCTGTACCAGTTGGTACAGCAGGTGGTTTATCCCAGTAGTCACAGAGTTTCATCCATCCCAACTGGTTCAGGATGTTGCCCATCCACAGTATTCGCACTTGCTCAGGTGAACGTCCAGGCTTCGACCCAAGAACACGAAAAGATCCAGTGCAAACCAGGGTTTTGGCCTGGAGCCTTTCTCAATGAAATCAATGGGTGCAATTGGAGAGCATTGAACTGGCCCGGCTGTCCGGGTGCATTTGCCGTTTTGTCAAATGTGCTACCAATTGAAAGGAAGCGCTGTAAGTTGAGAATCGGAATATGCGTTTAGGTGTTTGGACGTGGCGAACTTGTCTCGAAAGGACAGTTGCATGTCCGCGCTTAGTCCATCCAGCTCAGGTTCCAAACGTCCCACATGCTTGGCCGGCTGGCAATTTACACGAGGGGCTTGATCTGCCCGAAAGCCCTCGGCAGCCGTCTGCCCTCCGCCACACCACATTGAAAACCGTTCACCCGGCATGACAAGCGCTTGATCCTCAGAGTTTCTGCAGGGACTCATCTGTAATCCCCCTGCACAATGGCTTCAAAAACGGGTATGCCGTTTTTTTGGGTTGGACACCCCAAAATGGGCAAATTTGGTGGTTTTCCTCATGCTGGTCCATTTAAATCCAGCAAGAAAGAGGGGGACCAACTCCAACCCCAAACGGCTCCGCTGCGAGCCTCTCTAAGTTCCGCCTCGGACAGACTCTCCTTCTTCTCCTTCAACCTCGGCTTCGCAAGCGAAGCCTCGCCTCTTGGGAACCTTCCTTCTGCAGCGCGTGCCGATGAATTGAGGCATGGGTAATAATCATCTAGTTCCTTCCCCCCCAGAGAAAAAAGAAATCCGGCTGGGCTCGGCCCCTGGGAAAATCTGCCATGTCCTCGGTGTTGGAACCATCGGATTGTTTCTCCGGAAGAGAACCATCAGTACTTTGTCAAGTCTGAGCCAAAAGGAACCGCAGCAAATAGTTTAGCTTCATCTCCCAAACTGCGTGTTGTAGAGTTCTGGGAGTGTTGTTTCTTTCCACTTGTGCGCAATGACAAGGCTGTTCTGACCAACTCTTCACAAGGGGAAGTTTGGTATCACAGAAGTGGGAGACATCCAACCCGAGTTTATGACCTCCGTGTCTTTCTTGGCAAAGGCTGGGCCAAGTTCCAACCTGCAAAGAGTGAAACTGGGCCGCCCGCGATTTCCGGAAAGCCTGCGCTTCTCGCGAAAGAAAAAGGCTAGGGAAGGACCAGCTCGCCCTCCAAAGGCATCCGAAAAAGGAGGAAGGACCGCCAGCACCCCCCCCCCCAAAAAGGGCTCTCAAATAGCGGGGTCATGGCACCACGTACAAGCAAAAACACCAAGGGAAACCACTCACAATTTAGGATGGGGGATCCCCCGCATCTAGGAACTAAACCACGCGCGCATGTGGAGATCCACTCATCAAAATGGGCAAACCTCTCCTCAGGCCCCTTTTGAAATGCTCTTTGAATTCCCAATCCCGTCCAAGCGACCGCCAAAAAGGGGCAGCGAATTATTGGAATCCGCCCATCCTTGCGCCGTCCGCCCAACCGTAGCCTTGAAGTCGAAGTACCGCGGGCTAACCTTGGTGTGATTGGGCACCGGGTCGTCGTCGTCGCCTGACGCAACAGTCGCCCCCTGACTTTCGTGGAACTCGCGGCAGACCCAGGCTGTGAATGCACCCCGAAAATTCCCTCCAAGGAAACCATGGGGATGGTTAATGGGGGCATTCCCTCATACCCTGCTGAGAACCAGCAAACAAAGTCAGCATCTGAGTCTCCGGGCTATCAGTATATGCCGATGACAAACCACGTACAAATCTTCCAGTAAGTTACATCTTGCAAGCGAGACATCTTAGTGGATCTGCTCTTCATGGTACTGGCGGGTACCCGTCAAAATTGAGAAACCAATTGGGAGGGGGGTCCCCTATTTCGAGACAGATATAAAAACAATACCAAGATACAGGTGCTCCGAACAGAAGCATGAAGGTCATGAAGGCAGATCAGAGTGTCATGCGGGGGTGTCTCTGTTTTTAGGGTACCCGTGTTTTAATTGCTTTAAAGGGAAACCAGAAGGAAAACAGAGACACACCCACCTGTTCAAGCTTCAGACCCTTGGGGTTCCCATTGAAGGAAACCACGAAAGCCATTGTTGTCCGCAAAGGTTTGGGGCATTCGCAATATTTGCTGCACCCCGTTTGCATGGGACAAGAACAAACAGGGACTCCAACTCAGTCAACCCTCTTGTTCCAACCTCTTGGGTAAACCGATGCGCTTGAGAGGCCGGGAGTCTTAGAGCTCTAAGTCTCTCCCGTGGCACATGCTGACGGAAGCCCGGGAAACTCGCGAAACCGCTCCACCAAAAGCGCCGTGTCTTGGCCCCCGGCTGAAGCAGCGCCGCGCCACTCGCGGCCAGCCTCAAGAACGAGCTGGAAAACCTCTGGAAACGCGAGGCCCTAAATTTCCCCCCTCAGACGTCCCCACCCACCAGTTAGTGTTTAAGACCACCAAAAAGGGAAACATAGGGCACCCTGGAAAACCATCCTGTTTGGGGTTGTTCCAGCGCAACCTGGTTTTGAGGCACTCTGGCCAACACGGAGAGATCTCTAGGAGTGCGCAGCCGTGCAGCACATGCAGTGTCAGAACCAACACACTTCAACGAGTCAGGTGAAACTGAAAGCAAACACATCCAAACAGTCTCAATACGTTAAACAGCTTCAGTGCAATGATTGGGTATAAGTCCCAGGTGGAGACCTATTGGACATTTGCATGGACAAAATAATTTTGTCGACCAGCCATGATTGAGGCTGTTCCCCGTTAACAAGCCGGGCCACGGACCGGCCACAATTAAATTGACGTTTCCCTTTTGTGTCCATTTATAACCAAAAAGGGACCAACAAACATAGAAGCCTAAAAAAATGCCAACAACCGTGAAGTCACGGACCCGAAAATTTGCCCAACAGCGCAAAAGCCGTGGTCGAAACCATCCACGCGCCCGCGCCTACGGCTAGGCGCGGCCTCACGGGCCTGCGAGCGCGAAAACAAGAAAGCACAGCCCACTGGCAAAAGACGACATGGCAAGGAAACATAAACCAGCCCGTTCCAATCGGGATTGCCCCGAACATATGGCGGTGCTTGGAAACCCACTGAGCTTCCAAAGAAAGACTAGCAAAAAGGGGCCAACCCATCATCTCTCCTGCCGCCGTCGCTATTCTCCAAAGGCGGCCAAAAAAAGGCGAGAGAGGAGAGTTCCCCCCTTAAAAAATAAGCTCAGGTGATATCCCCAACAGCATGTGGTGCTCTTTTTAGTGCTCGCACCACCCCGCAGCCCTCGCAGAGCCTCGTGGAACCCTCGAACCCTGGTGGAATCCTCGTGGAACCTTACCTCAGGGCCGCCCCGGACCACACCGGAGCCTATCTGGGCTGAGACACCAAAGTTGGGAAAGTCCAAGCACTGTGCCAAATGCTCCTTGTAAGGGGGGCGTCCTCAGCCCCTCGATGGAAACAAGATAAGTCAATGTAGATAGACAAAATAAGCTGGTGCATCCCAGTATTCGTGTATTCGTAGGCTTCATCTACAGGATTCCAACTGGTGCGAAGTAAATATTGAACATCCGCAACAGGAACTCTCTGGGGGGGGGAGTGAAAGCGCTCTGCAAATGGTCCGCACAGCCCGGCCTCAACGCTCTCAATGCCAGAGCCATGAGAAACGGCGAGTGGGAACAAACGATATGGCCGCCTGTTGGCGGCCAAACAAAACCTCTTTTGTTGTCCAAGGAACAGAAAGAACCCACCCTTGGTATCGTGGATTTCCGTTTTTGTGTCCTCTCCTAATGGATCCCGTCTCACGAAACATGGGTTCCCTCTGGGCTGGCTTGGCCTGGATGCAGATGTCTAAACACTGCTTTCAGCCGCTACTATTTATACAACCTCTTGTCCCTGAAAAAGCTCTCCCTGGTTTGACTGCAGAAATCCGCGCTCGAGCCAGCA